TCATTATATGCCAGTGCTTATTTCTAAAGTGACTCGTAACTATTTTGTTTTTTGTAGTAACAAGTTTTGTGGGGTATCGGTTAGTCAACTTTGACTTAATATATTTACAAACCATTTGTATAATGTAGCTTTAATTCAAGAGTTCAAAGATTCCCTTGAAAGTACTAAAGAGGTAATTTCAGACTATAAGGAAGTTCATCTCATACAATCTGTTCTGTGTGATTTCATCCGTCTTGTGTTACTCAGACACATAATGGAGGAGGAGATTTGATCATGATGCCCCTGCAGGCATAGGGAGAGGATAATACGCACGATCATGTTTTGACATTTGGCTTTGAAAAAGAGAGCAGAAATGCGTATAGTGCGCATCAAGTATCCAAATATGCGCAATGAATAAAGTACTTGAAGAAAATTAATACCTTAGTGTTTGGTATTAGTTTGCAAATAATTCAGTAGATGTGAATCATGATACTATATAAATATATAAGTAAATGTCCTTTTTTCTACAACCTTCGATTTAAAATGTCATACAAATATTTAAGTAAATATAAAACAAGGTGATTTGAATTCCCAACCTTAATGATTATTAAATGATGATTTATTTATTTATTTTTGGTCCTGTTCACAACTTTCCGTGTTCTGTTTGTTTACTGCTAATGCCGTTACAAATTGTGAAAATAACTGTTTGATTAAATGAAGACCAAACAGATTCCTCTGATTACATCCGTGTTTTTGATTTCAGCAAATCAGCATTTTTGAATGGAAACCATTATCTTTGTGTGAGTCCAACATTGCACAAGAAAACATGCAGTAAAAAACTGAGACGTGATCCGAAAAGGCAAGGTGTCAAGGAGTGGTTTTTGAGTAACCTGCTGAGTAATTTCTGTTCATGCTTTGGCCTCTGAATTTACCTGATATAAACCCAATTGAAATTTACTTTTAAAATATGCTGCATGCATATCATTAAGATAACCAAATTAAACAGACAATAAGTAAAAATAAAAAACGACAATATGGTGATTATAAATACACTCACCGGCCACTTTATTAGGTACTTCTTACTAGTATCGTGTTGGACCCCCTTTTGACTTCAGAGCCTTAATCCTTCATGGCAAGGATTCAACAAGGTACTGGAAATATTCATCAGAGATTTTGGTCCATATTGACATGACAACATCATGCAGATGCTGCACATCCATGATGTGAATATCCTGTTCCACCACATGCCAAGGGTACTTTATTGGAATAAGATCTGGTGACTGTGGAGGCCATTTAAGTACAGTGAACTCATTGTCATGTTCAAGAAAACAGTCTGAGATGATTCGCACTTTATGGCATTGTGTGTCCTCCTGGAAGTAACCATCAGAAGATGGGTACACTGTGTTCAAAAAGTAATGGACATGGTCAGCAATGCAATGAAGGCTGTGGCGTTGACAGAATGCCCAATCGGTACTAATGGGCCCAAAATTGTGTCAAGAAAATATCCCCCACACCATTACACCATCACCACCAGCCTGAACCGTTGGAACTGGCAGGATGGATCCATGCTTTAATGTTGTTGATGCCAAGTTTTGACCCCACCATCCGAATGTCGCAGCAGAAATCGAGACTCATCAGACCAGGCTACATTTTTCCAATCTTCTATTGTCCAATTTTGGCCTCAGTTTCCTGTTCTTAGCTGACAGGAGTGGCACCCTGGTCTTCTGCTGCCATCCACCTCGAGGTTCGTCATCTTGTGCGTTCAGATATGGCCTCTTTTGAGATGCCATTCTGATGCTTGGTTTGAACTGCAGCAGATCATCTTGACCATGTCTACATGCCAAAATGCATTGGGTTGCTGTCATGTGATTGGCTGACGAGAAACTTGCGTTTACAAGCAGTTGGTCCTGGTGAGTGCATATTGAGAAATCTATCAATGAAATCAATATACAAAACTGGAATGTTAATACAGATGAAAAGAGAAGGTTAGATTCTTGCAGATGTTTGTTTAGATGGAATATGGCTTGGAGGAGAAAGAAGGTTATTGTTATTTCTGGCTGTTGTGGTGCTCCAGTGCTCTGTAGAGCTAGTCAGATGGCAACAGTTGGACAAGTGGAGAGTAGGCTGGATGTGAGGGGTCCAGAATTATTTTTCAATCCCTTTTCCTCACTGAATCTGTAAAGCTTTCGGATGTTAGGCAGAAGGAAATGGGTCTGATCTGGTAGCTGAACCAAACCAGAAGCTAGATAGACTCAGTAGCTATGTTTTCATCCAAAATGTGAATTAGAGTTAGGTGCAGAAGTAGAATATCACATAAAACAGTTGCAAATAAAGCGCCGTTTCTATACAATCAGTCAAAAAGAACAAAATTGTCACTTCCTGATAAATTGGAGCCAAATATCAAAGAAAAATGTAATTAGCTGAGGTATAAGAGAAACCACTGTAGGCCTTTTTTATTATATAACAAATTACCTGCATCTCAGAAGACAAAGACGAAATGCAAAGAACGCGCTGTGACTTTTGGAGGAGCTAGAGCACTCTTTAGGAGCACTGACACTCAACATAGTTCTGGCAGGTAAGAATGCTGAACCACTTTGATGGACCAAAACAAAATTTCAGATGTTGAAAGGCAGGCTAGTCCAAAAAAAGATAAATGAAACAATGTAAAAGGAATCAGATAGCCAGACAAACGGCACCTTAGAAGGTCATGTACTACATTGTTCCTTCCTCGTGTACTTTTAAGAGGATCTGCCTTTGTTAAATCGATGCTCTGAAGACTGCAGGCTTTGTCTGAAAAGGTGTGATACCAGTTTTTTTTAAAAACAGAGCTTTCTCACGAAGACGGCATGTCTGAAATCACCTATGCTAAAAAAGGCTTTGAGAGTATGTGCGTGTTTTATGAAAAATAATATGAATGGATTAGACAACTAATACCAGTTATTGTTGGGTTAAGGCTTCATGATGATCTTCCTTTTGTTCATTTAAAATCTATAAAATAGTTCAGGTTGATGAAATTGCTGTTTGTTTAAATCGTATTGTTGTTTTGTGAAGTAAACTGCACTCCCTCTTGTTCTATCCCATTTGACTTTTAACACAGAAGATAATTTGAAGAAAGTTGGAAATCTGCTAATTGACTTCCATAGTAGGAAAACCAATTACTGTTTAAATCAATGGTTACAGTCTTCCAACATTCTTCAAAATATCTTCCTTTGTGTTCAATAGAACAAACAATGTAAATTGGATTGAAACAATTCACTTTCATCTACTACTGTACATATAAAGATTTTGATTAATGTTCAGTTGGTTTAATGTATTTATAAACATGAACTAAACATTCAGATGATCTGAATAATCAACCCCCCGTTATCAAAGGGTTTGTCTTATTTATTTGTCCTGTACACAACTTTGGTAAACAAAAACAAAGTTGTTCATTGTTAGTTTTTTTTAACAAGCACATCTTTGGATTTCATTAACGCTTAGTAAATGCTGAACTATGATTAATGCAGTTGATCAAGTATTGTTCATACCTAGCTTATAGTAAATAGATTAACTAAAGGAACCTTATTGTAAAGTGCATGACCATATTTTTTTAATGAATTTAAATCAAGAAAACACTTTTTTTTTCAACAAATAAATATTTGTAATCCTTTAAAAATAGTCTGACTAAACTAACAATTTTGGACCCTAACTCCAATAAAACAGTAAAATCTGTTAATTTTTAATTTTATTTTTTTTGCTTTCAAGGCATGTCATCTAATGTGAGGCATACAATCCATGTCATTGGACATTATTTGTCCATTCAATTGGCAGTATGGCTCTGTCTGCTGTAATTTGAAAAATATTGTCTACGCTGACGAAAAGTATGGCTGTTCTTTGTGTCGGACACAGAAGTAAGTTACATTTTTAATGTTTTTTTTTTCACATTATTGACAATATTGCACAGATTGAAGAACAATATAGCACAGAAGTTACATATTAATTGTACGTCACTTTGGACAAATGCATCTGCTAAATGCCTAAATGTGTATGGTAGAATTGCAAGCTTTAAATGAAGATTTTTTATATGTTCAATATAATAGAAGGTAGTTTTGGTTTTATTATAATGGCCTATGGGTTGTAATAAAGTGCTGTCTATAAAACTAAAACCATCATTATCATTTTAAACTTTGTAACATTCAGAAGTAGCCATTTGTATTATTTTTAAATTTCATATTGGTATATTTTTTTTAATTGCTTTAACCTATGTCCATTCTGAAAGCGTTCCCCTATATACATTTCTGGAGATTGCGAAATATGTCCCAGGAGATGTTGACCTGCTCAATGAAAATCAGATGATTAAGTACATTTATAAATCTGACATAACTTGATCAGAAATTTAAAAAGGGGAGAAAAAGATTAAGCCATTAATAGAAAGTAATACTTTGGTTAAAAGAGTCTTGCAGGTTACAGTGCAATATTTATTTTTTATTTCAGCCATACTAACATAACAGCACCATTGTGGTCCAGTGGTATGCACGTTGCATTTATGACACTAATGACCTGTGTTCTAATCTTACTGGAGTAATTATTTATTTATTTACTTCATTTTCATTGTTAAGGCATATAATACTGTTAGGGTTGTTGAACATCTGAAGTTCTAAAGCAGCTGTTTTCTTGAAAAGACATGATAGTGTCATTAGAAACTGAATTGGAAATGACCTTATTTTAATATAGTCAGTCGTGAACTGAGGAGGGCCGGTCTAAGGCTTGAAACTCCAGGGCTGAAAAAGAGTCCCACTCCGACCCTGCACCCACCCCCTTTCCTAAAGCCAACCAAAAGTGTTTTTAAAAGCAATCCAAAAAAAGAAAAGCCCCCCTGATTTTTCCTACATTTTCAGACCTTACCACGTTTTTACCCTGTTATTTACTTATTTAATTTAGTTTTTTGTTTTAACTGCTTTCTGGAACTGTTCTTAAACCTCGTCTTAGTGATCAACTACTCTCTGCGTCTCAAGTCTGCCTATGTACGTGGCGAGCCACTGGACAAACTGGCAACATGCAGCAGAAAAGCCGTTCATATAGAGGTAAGCGGTCAGCTGGTAAGCGAGAAAAGAAACGGCAACATATATGTACCACCCCGCAGCGTTTGCTGTAAAGATGAAATGCAGCCATTTGCGCTTCTGGCTATATAATTTGTGATCTCCAGAAATGTATACGGGGACATTTTCAGAACAAGTCTATGTTGATTAACTTGTACACAAAATGAATACTGTTGATATATATACTATATTTAAGTCTCAGTTATGGAAGCCTTAAGATCAGAGGAAATGCACTTTCACATTTTCATATCCTGGTCAGAAGGGCTTCATTTTATTATTTAATGAAATGAACATGAATGTCCTGTTGTAAACCACTTTTGTCTCCAACAGGACACATTTGCTGCATAATGTGCTTTTATAATGGCACAGTAAAGTGAAGCGTGTTACACAGTGATATAATGCATTAGTGGAATATGACTCTATGCTGAAGACAGGTACCTGATTAACGTGAGCTGTACACCTGATGCTGAGCTTGTGCTGATGATGTTCCTCCTGACTGCCGTGTTTCTGGTGCCTCCCTCACACACATACAGACAGGAGGAGACCAGTATAAATAGCACATCATCACAAACACTGACAAAAGACACTCGAGAAGAAACCAGGACAACAAGGTACTGTGTGTTCATCATCATATAGTATTATTAGGATGAATATGTTATAACTTTTTAAATCAAATATATTGACAATTTATTGTTAGAATCATCTGTCTGTCTGTCTCTATCATTGTATCATTCTATCCATCTTTCTATCTGTCTCTCTGTCCGTCCGTTCATCTATCACGTTCTATCTATCGTTCTGTCTCTATTATATCGTTCTATCCATCCGTCTGTCTGTCTGTCCATCCATCTATCGTTCTGTCTCTAGCATTATATCATTCTATCCATCCGTCTGTCTGTCCATCCATCTATCGTTCTGTCTCTAGCATTATATCATTCTATCCATCCGTCTGTCTGTCCATCCATCTACCGTTCTGTCTCTAGCATTATATCGTTCTATCCATCTCGTCATTTCATTTGTCATTCTCTATATTTCCCTCCAAATTTCCTTGTGTTTATCTTAGGACAATTTAATGATAACTTTAATAAATTGTATCATTTTTATGAGCCTGTAAAGTGAACTTTTTTTTCTTAAATTCTTTTTTTGTTTGTTTCTTTCTTTTTTTAATTCATTTTTTCATATTAATTTTGTTTATTTCTTTAGTTTTTCAATTCTTTAGTTTTTATTTTTAGTTATTTTCTTTCCTTTTTCTCTATTATTACTTTATTTTTTATTCATTTATGCAAATTCATTTAATTAGTTTGTGTCTGTCTTTGATATTTTTCTTTTTCTTTTTTCTTTTTTTTGTTTATTTAATTATTCGTTTATTGATATTCATTTTGTTTGTCAATTTCTTTAGTTAATTTTTCTTTGATTGTTTCTTTCTTTTTTCTTTCTTTATTTTTGTTTCTTTAATATTTAATCATTTATTAATATTCATTTCATTTATTTCTTGTTTTTTCATTGCTTTGTTTTTTCTTTTTGTTTTTTTCTTCATTTTAGTTTCTTAATTTTTTTATTTTTCTTTGTTTGTTTATTTCTTTAGATTGTTTCATCTTTGTTTGACTGTTTCGTTTTTCTTTTCCTTTTTTTATTTTTTATTCTTTTATTCATACTCATTTCGTTTGTTCATTTCTTTAGTTTGTTTCTTTTTTTGTTTCTTTTTTCTTTTCCTTTTTTTTCTATCTTCATTTTTTATTTTATACATTTAGTAATATTCATTTAGTTTATTTCCTTTTTTAATTTCTTTAGTTTTTTTCTTTCCTTTCATTTTATTCTTTTCTTTTTCCTTAATTTTTGTTTCTTAATTTTTTTCTTTATTTGTTTATATTCATTTCGTTTGTTCATTTCATTGATTTGTTTCTTTCTTTGATTGTTTTTTATTTTCTTTCTTAATTTTTCTTGTTTTAATTTTAATTTATTTATTAATTTTCAATTTTTCTTTCTTCATTTTTGTTTCTTTACTCATATGTCCTATTCATTTATTCTTTTATTTCCTGTTCACTTAGTTTATTTCATTTTTTCCATTTCTTTCTTTTTTTGTTTGTTTGTTTTTGTCTGTCTGTCTGTTTGTTTGTTTTTTTAATCTATCCAACCATCTGTCTCACCAATCATCTTTCATTCTATCCCACTTTCCATTTGGTTTCATCTATTTTTCTACATCATGTCTATCTGTCTAATTTTATCATTATTAGTAGTATTAACATTGAAGTAATGTGATGCTTGAAATAATCTGTTTCTCTGTCCCCAGAATCCTCATTTATTTTCCCACTCGAGCAGAACAACTGCATGTGGAACTGAACACCTGTAGCGTGAGTGATCCACCCGTAAGTGTTTGTCTTTTTCCCCCCTTTAATGTCTGCTTTGGAGTAAATCAAGGTCAGCCTGTTCTTGTGCTGTGTGGGATTTTCCCCTGCAGCCACACAGCATCATGTGGCCTGTCCTCCTCGTGTATCATCTTGTCCTGATTCTGCAGTTGGAGGCTCAGAGTCCCTGCCTCACCCATCCTACATTCAGAGAGCCAGGTGAGTCAGAAAGATCCAGACGCATCCTTATAATTCTCTCCTTGCTCTCAGCTTTCAGCATCTTTAGAAGCACAGAGGAACCTGAGACCACCTGGCAATACTGGACCTGTATTTAGTTTAATATATGCAGTATTGTTTTAATGACGTGTCCTTCTTTAGTTGTGGTTTTAAATGTCGCAGTAGTGTGTCAGAATGAACAACAAACATTTTCTGAATAATATTATGAAAGGATTAGACAACTATAGGAAGGTGTTGATTTATGGAAGGTGTCACGGTGCTTTAAAAAACACAATACTTTAGAGCAGGGGTTCTCAACCTGTTTCACTTCGGGCCCGCTTCTTTCTTTGATCAATTTTTGAAGTCCCACCTGTCTGACATGTTCTCTAATTTTTTTTGTATGAAATTCTCATTTAAAGCTTTATTTATTAACAAATAATGTATTAAATTATATTATTTTTTTTACAAATATATATTATACATTTGTTGTGCCCTCCATTATTTTCTATTATCAGCATTTTATATATATAAAAATTATATATATATATATATATATATATATATATATATATATATATATATATATATATATATATATATTTTTTTTTTTTTTTTTTTTTTTTTTTTTTATGCAATTTTATATAAAACTAAAACTATATTATATATAATTGTATTTATTTTTTTATTTTATATACATTTAAATATATCAAAACTAAACAGACAAATGTAAAATAAAGTTAAACACCCTAAATCTGTTGAAACGAGTCGATCTGATTGCAGTTGAGATTCAAGCTGGATATTATTGGTCTGAAGCTCATGAGTTTATTTTACATTCTATGGCAGAAACACCATTCGGTGAGCCTTGCTAGATCCTCATGTGGTGCGCGTCTTTTATAAAACACTCACAGGACATTAATTTAGACAACTATGCAGATGTATTAAATAGTTCACACAAAATTACACAAAGATAGACTTTCACTTTCACTTCATGCATAGTTTGAACAGACATGCATGAACTCAATCGAGCTGTTTTTGTGCTTGTTTTGAGTTTGAAGTGATCAATCAGAGAACAAATAAATAATATAAAAATATAAATTAAGGTTCAGTATTTTGTGGTTTACATGGTGTTTTTTGTTTATTTAGGCTACTGCAGTGAATTGCATTATGGGATCTTGATCTCTGCTTTGTCAACTTTGTCAACACTGTAGATTGACAGTGACTTTTATTGGCATTTTAGTAGTTTGAGATATAATATTGTTAAAGAAAATAATATAGAGAGAAGTGAGTCAAATAAAATAACAGAAAAAAATGCAGTTTGTAACCAGGTTTTTGTACTCTATTTACAACACAAACACAGACAATATATAATTTCAAAGTAGTAAATTTGTCACTTTTAAACTTTGGAGGAAAGACTAAAAAACCCATTAAGCAAATCAAGAGCATAAATAAGTGGAAAAAAATCAATCACCAAATATAAAAAACTGTTAATTTACAAATATTTTACTGTGAATTTCAGTTTAAACTACAAACAGCACTGCTTTTATGAATTTTATTAAATAACTTTAATTTTGTTGAAATTTTTAAACAATTTTTATTTATTGTTGATTTAAGGAATGTGTCACGATGGTCTTATTTTCTTTCACAAAAAAAATAGTTTAGAGTAATTAAAATACTTGATTTATTCTTTTTTTGACTGATTTTTTTTTATTTTATAAATAGTTTTTATATCCTTATTAATCCATAATGGCACAACTATTTACTATATTAAGTGTTTCTATGAACAGCTGATCTATTTATATATACATTTTTATATAAATTGATATATATTTATTCATATATATATATATATATATATATATATATATATATATATATATATATATATATATATATATATATATATATATATATATATATATATATAGGAGGGGGGATGTCCACCTTGTGCAGTTTCCATTTGGATGATGCAACAGCAGCCACAAAATAACGGCGCCAGTGCGCTCACACACCAGCTATAGTTTGAGACAGTGATAGAGCCAATTTAGTTAATGGGGATGATTGGGTGTAAGGGCTGATGGAAGGAATTTGGCCAGGACACCGGGGTTGCTACTTTTTACGAGAAGTGCCATGGCATTTTAATGACCACAGAAAGTCATGATTGCAGTTTAACGGCTCATCTGAAAGATGGTGCTCACTGACAGTATAGTGTCCACGTCACTATACTAGGGCATTAGGACTCACACAGACAGCAGGTTGAGCACACCCTGCTGACCTCACCAACACCACTTCCAACAGCAACCTAGCTTTCCTGTGTGGTCTCCCACCCAGGTACTGACCAGGCTCAGCCCTGCTTAGCTTCAGTGAGAGACCGCTATTGGGCTGCAGGGTGATATGGTGAATAAGATAGATTAAATTACTAGAAGTGTTATTTAATTTTAAGGTCGAATTAGATTTTTAAAAATCACATTTGTATTCTCATTTACAAGCAGCTATAGATTAAACTTGTTTTAAAACAACTTAATTTTTTCGTTATACAGCATATTACGAAAACGTAATAAATATTGTATCTATTTCTTAACACATGAAAAAGTTCAATCAAAAATACTTAAAATTTTATTTGGAACCATAAAGAAACCCAATATTTTATTTTCCTTGCAGGAAAATAGGTTAATGAATGTTAATTTTTGGCTGAACTATCCTTTTAAATGTCCTGGTAGCCCTATGGATTTCAGTTTAAACAAAAAACGTCATTGTTTCATTATACAGACAACTCGGACATCACGGTGATGTGTGGCACGAACAGGATAGATCTGCAGATTTTGTTGTGTCCCATGTATTTCAATGGATACAGTGAATCGATGGTGGCTCTGAATAGTCAGTTCTCCACACCTGAATGCAGAGGAATTGCAGACTGGTTCGTCGACCCTCCTGTTGTCAGATTCCAGTTCTACATCACTGAGCCATACTTGTCTATTTGCTCCAATAAACTCACGGTAGTAGAATTTTTTTTATGGACATTATGAAAACAATAAGTATCATATTGAGTAATTATACATTTATACATATCATGCAACTCAATGTTTTGATGGGTTAGTTAGAGCACTGGTTCCTAAGTTTACAAAGTGGGGAACATAGCAATAAAGTAAGATGCAGCAGATTGATTTTACAGTACAAGGTTCAACTTTAACACTTATACGCACTCGTGTACTATAAAAAAAGGCCACAACTAAACATGGAGGATGATTTCCAAATCAAAATCTCCTAAACAACCTAATGATGACTAATAAAAATAATATGGTTGTTAGACTGCTGCACTAATTTTGTGTTGTCAAAATGCTCATGTTCATATAGTTCTCTAATGTTTGTATGTTTATAACCACCTTGTGTCTAGGGGGGTCACGACTCAACTGGAATTGTTATTTTGGGCATCGCAGTCTAAAATGTTTGGGAACCCCTGGGTTAAAAATGTTTAAACATTTTTAGAAGTGAGACAACAACAACGAAAAAGAGCTATATTGTTATGTTTAATTTATATTATTTATTCAAATAATTTTCTTCCCTTTTAAATTGTTTATAATAATAGTACTAAAAAGTGTAAATATATTATTTGAATAATAATAATAAAAAAAATTATAGTAATTCATCAGGTACAAAAAAAGCAATAAAAAAAACAAAAACAAATATGTGTCCAAACTGCTTAATTGTTATTTTAAATATAATGTTTGTTTTTTTTTTACTGTTAGGTTATTCTTGTAATTATATTATTATTATTATTATTATTATTATTACTATATTTTGTATTATTATTTTGCTATTATATTATTATTATTCATTCATTTATTTTATTTTCGGCTAAGTTCTTTGATTATTCTGGGGTCGCCACAGTGGAATGAACCACCAACTTATCCAGCATATGTTTTACGCAGCAGATGCCCTTCCAGCTGCAACCCATTATTGGGAAACATCTATACACACTCATTCACACACATACACTACAGACAATTAAGCTTACCCAATTCATATACCACACGTTTTGAACTGTGGGGGAAACCGGAGCACCCGGAGAAAACCCACGAAAACACGAGAAGAACATGCAAACTTCAAACAGAAACACCAACTGACCCAACCAAAGCTCGAACCAGCGCCCTTCTTGTTGTGAGGCGATCGAGCTACCCACTGCGCCACCATGCATCCCAATATTATTATTATTATTATTGTTATTATTATTATTAATAATGATGATGATAATAATAATAATAATAATAATAATAATAATAATAATAATAATAATTTTGGTTATAATAGATTTTACTAAAATACTAGAATTTATAGACAAACTTATTTTAAAAAATTAATATTTTATAATTATTATTATATATAGTTTGCCTAGTTTGTAATTAATTAAATAATTTAAAATATATCCTTTATTATGTGGCCTAATAATAGACTTTATATACACTGTAATTATGGTGCAAATTACAGTGGGGTTTGAACCCCTAATTAATTCTTGATCGCCCCTAAAGAACATCAAAACATGTATGGGGGATCAGTCCTGGAGAGTGGAAGTTTGCTCTGATTTGTATCCTAAACAATATCATTAATAATTAAAATGATAGTTGATATAAATATGCATTTGTGCATACCAATGTGAATGCATAATTATGTCAATATGCCTTTGCAAGAAAAATGTCATTCATCAGTCTGAAACTGGCAGATCTAAAGCACCGATCTTTTAAGTCAAATTAGATGTAAAGTTTGTATAGTTTGATCTACACTAGCCTCTGAAACAGCTAGACAGAGAATACCTTAGGTCAGAATAGATTAAACATCCCACAAAACACTGAAAACGTAAATGTTTTATTCATAAATTAGATTTAATTTATATATATATATATATATATATATATATATATATATATATATATATATATATATATATATATAGATAGATAGATAGATAGATAGATAGATAGATAGATAGATAGATAGATAGATAGATAGATAGATAGATAGATAGATAGATAGATAGATAGATAGACAGACAGACAGACAGACATTTAATTTGCTGAAGCATGTTATACAAACTAACATTGTAGAAAAAGTTGACCCTGTGATTGAATGTATAATCCGCACCCTGACTGTAATATATAATATAATATATAGCCATTTTGCATTGTTGATCTTAAGGTATCTCTAATTAGTTGTATTGATACACCGAAGCTGTTTCTAATCTTCAGGTTAGGCTTCTGTCTTTGCATGTTCCACCGTCCTCCACAGATCAGTCAGGAGATTGGATCTGGGCTTTTCTCGGACTTCTCCAGTGTGCAGTCGGTGAACATCTCTGGAGTGGTGAACACTCAGGACCCCAACGCTGGGACCATCACTTACAAGCAGGAGATAAAGTACATGTTCTCCTGCCGATACCCACTGCAGTACCTGCTCAACAACACCGAGATCAGCGTGTGAGTGAACCAGCGCTCAAACACTATTAGTCACCAAATAAACCAGCAGATGATGTGAAGATCAGATTTCATGGAGAAATAGATTTTAGAGTTTATAATGTAATGACAATGTATTAGATAAATGATGAATTAAAGTGATTTCAATGGCTTCAGAATTTTTTGTTTTGGCTCCGTGTGTAATAAACTCAAAATAGTAGTACACAGAAGAAAATAAAAATGATTCATTGGATTTTCAATTATTTGATAATTGGTTACAAACAACAACAAACAAACAAATTAAATTTTGTAATGTTCAACTTAATTGTTTAAATTTAGACCATATTAAATTTTGCAACCACTTACCCTAAAAAAAATTGTAAATCCAATGAATATTTTTTTTCAGTGTAGTGAATAAAACAAAAAAATGAAGGAATGATTACATTACGTAACTGATCTTCTGAACTGGGTACAAAATAGGGGGCTAATAACTCTGACTTCTACTGTATATATATATAGTCAGAATTATTAGCCCCCGTTTCCTCAATTTCTGTTTAACAGAGAAGATTTTTCAACAATTTCTGAACATAATAGTTTTAATAACTCATTTCTAATAACTGATTTATTTTATCTTTGTCATGATGACAGTAAATCATATTTGACGATATCTTTCAAGAAATTTCTACACAGCTTAAAGTGACATTTAAAGGCTTAACTAGGGTAATTAGGCAGGTTAGTGTAATTAGGCAAGTTAATTTATAACGATGATTTGTTCTGTAGACTATTGACAAAATATAGCTTAAAGGAGCTAATAATTTTGACCTTAAAATAATGTTTAAAAAAATTCAAACTGCTTTTACTCTAGCCAAAGTAAAACAAATAAGACTTTCTCCAGAAGAAAAAATATTATCAGACATACTGTGAAAATTTCCTTGTTCTGTTAAACATCATTAAACACACACACACACACACACACACACACACACACACACACACACACACACACACACACACACACACACACACACACACACACACACACACACACACACACACACACACACACACGGATTAATAAAGGGACTAAGCCGACAAGAAAATGAACATATACATAGAGAGAGAGAGAGATCATTTCCCAAATGATGTTTAAGAGCAAGGACATTTTCACAGTATGTCTGATAATATTTTTTCTTCTGGAAAAAGTCTTATTTGTTTTATTTCGGCTAGAATAAAAGCAGTTTTTAATTAAAAAAAAAACATTTTTGGGACAAAATTATTAGCCCCTTTAAGCTAATTTTTTTTTCGATAGTCTACAGAACAAACCATCGTTATAGAATAACTTGCCCAATTACCCTATCCTGCCAAGTTCACCTTATTAACCTAGTTAAGCCTTTAAATGTCACTTTAAGCTGTATAGAAGTGTCTTGAAAAATATCAAGTAAAATATTATTTACTGTCATCATGGCAAAGATAAAATAAATCAGTTGTTAGGTTTTAAAAATTATTATGCTTAGAAATGTGCTGAAAAAAATCTTCCCTCCATTAAACAGAAATTGGGCAAAAAATAAACAGGGGCGCTAATAATTCAGGGGGGCTAATAATTCTGACTTCAACTGTATGTATATATATATATATATATATATATATATATATATATATATATATATACACACACACATACATACATACATACACAGACACATACATACACACACACACACACACACACACATTTCAGTCTTTGCTGATCTCCGTTAAAAATTACATAATGCCAATGCCAGGTTATGTATATTCTTGAGTCGCTTATTCTAATCTAAAATAGGTTTAATTAAATTAGTCCTGTTCACATCAAAGACAATAACGACAATTACTGTATTTGTTTTAAATGCTGTATAAAGGAATAGCTGATAAGAACGCAGAGGAATGAAATTACTTAAAGCACGATTCTTTTAGTTGCTGAGGGATAAAAAACATTGACAGCCAATTAAATTCTAACTGCTTTAGCACAACTTAAAAAAGCAAATGGAAGAAAACAAAAAATAAACGGCAAACAGAACGTTACTGTGCTTTGTTTTATGCTACTTCAGTTTTCGTTTTGTGTCTGAAAGTTGCTTTTCTGCTGTGTTTTGGAGCAGATCTGGAGTTAGTCTGGCCATTAAAGACAACAATGGCAGTTTTATCAGCACTCTCAGCATGCATCTTTTTGAGGTATTTTAATGCTTCTTTTGCATATCATGTGCTTTCATGACCCTGGACCACAAGATTAGTCTCATAGGACACAGGTATATTTGTGAGAAAAGCTAAATACGATGAAAGTCAAAATTATTGATTTTTATTTCATGGCAGAAACCGTTAGAATATTAAGTAATTTGTAAGAAACCGTAATATTAATATCGTATCCATTTTTTGATCAGCATCATCCATTGATAATAACTTAATTTGGACAACTTTAGAGGCGATTTTCTCATTATTTAGATTTATGAACGCTCAGATTCCAGACTTTCAAACAGTTCTAATATTGTTCAACCATACATTAACGGAAAACTTATTTATTTATTTTTCAGATTCTGTATAAATCTCAATTTTTCAAAAACTTACTCTTGTTGCTGTTTTTGTGGTCCAGGGCAACATGCTGTATGTGAAATTCATTCAGAAACACTTGTCATTAGCGACACCACTGGCCGCTAAGTGAACTGCAGAAAGCAATTTAAAGGGATAGTACACCCGCAAAAAAGCTCGTTTTCTCACGCTTGTGAACACATTAAAATTCATTTGCATGTGTTCATCTCGATCTGTCTGTCTGTGTGTGTCTGACTGAAAGGATTTGGCATATACAACTCGTCTCTCCATTCCTCCAGTGGGTCTTAATCTGAAGACCAGGGTTTTTGTGGAAGTTCGAGCTACTAATCTCACCCAAAGGTAACTGATCGATTTTAGCTGAGCTGTATTATTCATTGTACGATATTCTGTGATATAAGATGCAAAATGAGCTCTGGGGAGCAATCTGACTCCTTTAAAAAAAATTAAACATTTTCTAAAAGCCTAAAGACAAATAAAGCACATAATTAATAAATATGTATATTTATATGTATGTTTTTTTTTTTAAGGTTTAATGTTTTGTTGGATCGATGTTATGCAACCACTAGTCCTTATCCAGAAAACAGCACATCATTTGACCTGTTCATTGGGTAAGTGAAGACTTACATCTTTCTCATTTACTCATTTTTACACAATTAATTTCTAATACGCAATTTTTTACTCTAAACAAAAATGTCTGCTAAGTTCCAATGCAGATTTTGTAAAAAAAAAAAAAAAGTGATTCTTAGTTATATTCAATAGTCCCTTTCACACCTACAGAACTTTCCTGGAAAATTGCCACCAATCTTTCATAAAGAGATCATGTTTGAACAGGCCCTTTTTGAAATTACCAGTAAATTTGTTCTGGCAATTTTCCAGAAAGAGAAGTAGTAACATTAAAAGTTGTAGCTTTTATTTTTACTTAATGCATTTTATCCAGCCAACTTATACAGCATATGTTTTTACACAGAGGATGCCCTTCCAGCTGCAACCCATCACTGGGAAACATCCATACACACTCATTCAAACTCATACACTATGGCCAATTTAGCCTACTCAATTCACATAGCGCATGCCTTTGGACTTCGGGGGGAAACCTACACGAACATGAGCAGAACTATCAAACTCCACACAGAAATGCCAACTGACCCACAGGCTCGAACCAGCTCCCTTCTTGCTGTGAAGTGAATGTGCTACCCGCTGCGCCAATGTGCAGCCAACACATCCCATAATTTCTAAAAAATATTAGCTTCAACCATATAGTTGATATGTCAGTTTATGGTAAACGTACTGGAATTAATACATATACTATGAAAAATCTGAAAATATGAAGTGTAAGAAAAAATATACAAAATAAACAATTTTAAATACTAAATTTTCCTCTTTTTTTAAAGTATGCCATAAAATATTTTTAGATTCTCATTTAACATGTTTCTTGTGTGTTTCTTTTAACAATAACTACAAAATCACGTGTAGTAGTGCAACAGGAGTATGTCTGTTTGATTTCTTTGTAAGTCAACAATGCTGTGTGTGTGTGTGTGTGTGTGTGAGTGTGTGTGTGTGTGTGTGTGTGTGTGTGAACAGTTATTTAAAACAGTCATTATTTATAACAGTCAAAACATGGTCAACCGTTTGGTAGAGCGAGCAGTTAAAGCGACCCTCCACATTATTCTCTGTCATTCTCAGATGTTACAAAGAGCCACAGACCGTGATGTTTGTGAACGGAGAGCTTCAGACTGCACGTTTCTCCTTCGAGACGTTTCGCTTCACCGAGCACAGAAACAGGACAGTGTCCACCTCTTACATCCACTGCGCCACCAGACTCTGTGAGAAGACTTTCTGCAGATCCTTACGGCAGGTATGAGCACTGTGTAGTGTGAGTGACTGAGAGAAACATATGGCTTCAGCTAATAAAGCGAGTTTACGTGTATGTGTGTCAGAACTGCACAGTGTTAGGAAGAAAGAGAAGAGAAGTGCAGTCGGCTCAGGGAACTTCAGTCAGTGATGTCGCCACCATCACTTCTGGACCAATTGTTACCAAAGTGGACGGTAAGAACAATCAGAGGTTTATATAAGAGAAGAGAAAAGATAAATATATACAGTTGAAGTCAGGATTATTAGCCACACTGGTTTTTTTTTGTTTTTTTTAAATATTTCCCAAATTATGTTTAACAGAGGAAGGAAATTTTCACAGTAAGTCTGATAATATTTTTTCTTCAGTAGAAAGTCTTATTTGTTTTATTTTGGCAAGAATTTTTTTTCTGAACCATTTTAAGTTCAAAATTATTAATTATTATTACTAATATGTTTAGAAATGTGTTGAAAAAAAATCTTCTATTCGTTAAACTGAAATTGGGGGAAAAAATAAACAGGGAGGCTAATAATTCTGACTTCAACTGTACACATATTTTCACAGTGACATTGTGTATGCAGATTATAGTAGAATATATAATTGTTTTGGGAATTTAAAAGACTCTAAGACAATTCTAACTAAGATTTGATAACTTCAAATCAGATTTACATTTTCCCTCAGAATTCTGTCTTGTTTTTTGCAGTTGTGAGACGTTCTAAGTTTATATTTTACAATTCTGTAAAAAAAACAAAAAAAAAAAAAAACTAAAGAGATCTTGCAATTTTCTTTCTTTTTAAATTTTCAATTTAAATGCAATTCAACAGTTGTGTATATCTTACCATTGCAAGATTTTAAAAAAAAATTCTTGGAGTTTGATTCTTTCCTACGGTGGCCGAGAGAGTTAAACTTGCTGAAATTTGAGAAAACACTTGCAATTACAAAAAAAGCCAGCAAATTAAGAAAAGATCTTTACAAAAATAATGCAAGCAAATTAATAAAACGTGCTGCATTTTCTCACAACACAAATTATTTAGGAAAACGCGCTGCGTTTTCTCACAACACTTGGAAAAAGAACTGAATACAATGGAAATGTTTCAAGAGGACTTGATGGAAGCTGCTGCAAAATGTTTATTGTGCCATGACTATTGCTTAGTGAAGTTGTAGGTGATTTTTGAAAGGTGAGTATTTTGTTGCATCCTCATTCCATTGCCTTTTGTATTAGCCTCAATAACTATAACCTAAATAGCAATGTCTGTCATGTTTTAGGATCCCCTTGAAACTTTTCTATAATGTTCTGTGTTATCTGAAAGTGTTGTGAGAGAATGCAGCACATTTTTGTAAATTGTTTTCTAGGTGTGAAAATGCAGCAATTTTAAAAAATTTTAAATGTGTTGTGTTTTTCTATATTTGCTGGTGTTTCTTGTAAATGTAAAATGGGCCAGAGGTTTCAATTTTCCTGAGTTTGCAGGCGCAACAATTGGGCAGGGCTTAAGTTTTCGTATCGACATCACGCCGAAACGGCTAAAGACTATTCATTTATAGCACTAGGAGTTGTCTCTTTTATAAATGAATCAGTAAATTTAAACGCTGTGCATTGTTACACACT